AATACAGTATTGTTCTTTAGCAATCTTACCCATCTAGAAAAATTCGTAGAATAAAGCGAATATACATATAGATTAAGTATAATGCACAATTTTATGGAATTTTCTATGAAAGAACTCCGGTTTCCATTTCTGTGATACTACAAGTTTAAGTTATTGGAGCGTAGTTTCGGATAGTTTAATGATAAATTAAGCTTTTCATGAACGTTATTTCATTTAGAAAGAAGGGCGAAAGTGAGTCCTAAAATGGTCTTACAGGAAGTATAGTAAAAATACCTCTATATAATTCATTTTTTCTAGTGATAATTGGTTTTTTACTTTGTTCAAATAATCACGGCAAAAGTAATAGTTTATATGAGGGTGCATGGAAGAGAAAAAAACACAAAAGATATAATTGCATCTATTGTAAGTAACCCGAATACTAATGAGGCAAAAATATAAATTACAGCCTCGGTAGCTAATAACTTTTTCTGCAATGAAATTGCCCAACGTTTATTTCACTTAACTTTTATAAATCTACTTCCATAGCCTTTTCTTCCTCTAATGCCTTGTGAACCTAAGCTGAATCTGGACCAGCTGGTCTCCCTGGAGTAAAAGGCCGCCGTGGGCAGTCAGGCGACATAGCTCACGGCATTCTCGGAGAAATCGGCGACCCTGGACCAATCGGTCCTATAGGAGAGACTGGTTTACCAGGATTACCTGGCAAACCAGGCCGAAAAGGCACAGCGGGTGAACACGGTTTTGGTGAGAACGGAGAAGCTGGTGAGAAGGGCGAGACGGGTGGCGCTCCAGATGTCGGTGAAGAGGGTGCAAAGGGAACTAAGGGAATGAAGGGAGATCCGGGCTCAAATGGCCGGGAAGGTGTTAAAGTGAGCATTATGCTAGCACATAGTTTATACTTTGAAACCAATATTGAATTTTGTAAACAAATTATCGATGAGCAAAATGTACGTTAGTAATCATGATTGTCGAATATTTATTTAGATTTTCGTAATTTTAGGCCAACTATCCGTAGATCGAAGTAATTATTTCGTCTAATAGTTAAAATGTCTGATTACAAAATAACTCTTTGCATTTAAGACCGATATAGGATAATTAGTC